CAGAGATAGCAAGTTCACACTGACTTTTAAGAGTCACTATGGAGGGTTTACAAGGATCTCACAGATGACTAAAATTAGTTTATTCTGCACAGCATTATCCACTGCTGACTCAAGATGGTGATACAAGCAGTGTTAAGCTGTGAGCTCACCAGGAAGCTCATTCCCTAAAATTACTCTTTGGCAGAGAAAGACCCCTAGTTCACATCAGTGGATGGAAGATGGGGTATAAATAGCAACTTGTTATGCTATCATTCAGATGCTGTGTCCCGCTTCTCTCCAGGTCTGGTTCTTGCAAATATAAGAGCCTCCTGATGAGTCTATTGTCTCTCTGTGCAGGGTGTGCGTGCGTGTGTGTGTGTCATTTTTTTGGTCATGTGTTACAGTAATTAGAAAATAGAGGTTCTGGTAAGTGTTCTTTTAAGAATCATCCAGCAACTCAGACATTTAAAACTGAGTTTTCTGTCCTATAATCTTCAAAGACACTTATTTAAACACACGGAGACTTTGATTATCTCCTATAAGAATGGAGGATATGTCCTGTCAGCTGACCTAAAAGTCGATGATCAACTTGTTCTAAATACATTTGTTCAGATAAATATAGTTAGAGGAGAATATATAGATATATATGCTGTCGGAGTGGTTTCTGTGTTATGTAAAAAATGTCATTTATCAGAATTCAGGGCAAATTTATCAGAATTAAGCTGTACTCACTCTGCTCAAAGTTATTTTCTTAATTGCTTTACTCACATAGTAAACTCAATAATAATAATAATAAAAAGCCAGACACATGAGCTATTTAATTAAATTGGCTAATCAATCGAGCGAGAAAGCAGCTCTAGTTTTGTGGATCTGCCTATACCCTGCCATATTCTCTCTTGGATACTAATTTTGGGTTCCTATTCATAGCTACTATGGATTTTCTATAACATTCATTTTGGGACACAAACGTACTCTTTAGTGCGTGCCAAACTTGTTTTGATTCTGCACAATTCTATTTCTCCATAGGTGCCCATTCCCTGCCACTGATAATGTTGCTTCACCTGTTTTTTCGGGCTTATTAGTACTGGACTGATTACTTCAGTGACAGGAGAAACTACGCATCACTGATTTTCTATTTTTGAAGCCCTGGAATTTTTCTTGTTGGGACATTGAGTACTTCATTTCTAATTAGGCTTTCCTTCTTACTCATATTTGGCCTTGCTTTATCAATAAATTACACCATCAATAATTGGGAACAGGATCCCAGAATGTGCTGCAGACATGCTTCCCAATGACACACAGGGAAGAAAGGAATGTTCAGGGAGGAATGGAATCGGAATGGCAATCTAGAAAAGATTGTCCAGATGTTAATTTTGAGGCAACAGCTGGGCTCTTATTTAGATTGGTAGTAGTTCCAATGTGTGATCAGTTGATGGTGTTTAATAGAGTCAATGTTATTTGATCAGATAGTCTTTGTACCAAGCTTCTTTAGAAAAAGCCCTTAGACATGTTGGGCTACATAACCAGGGTTGAACAAAATGCTCCAGAAGTAAAGTGCGTTTCAAGATCTAATTGTAATGGTCCCACCTCTAGAAAGTTCTTCTTGGTCTCCCCAGCTGGGAGTCAGGGCTCCATCCTTTAAACCCCCACAGCATCCTAAGATAATCCATCAGGTATATAGAAAATGTGAAAATCAGTGTTTACTAGAGAAACAGATCTAATACAAGACATACACATATATAAGAATTTACAGATTGGCTCATGATGGCCGCCCTCAGACTCGGGCGTAAAGAGTGCAAAACGTCAGTCTGCACCCTGGGGATCCGAAGGATTCAGTCAAAGGCCTGGAGCCCTGTGTCGTGTCCCGTGTAAGCCCTTTTCAGGAGGCTGGAGGGTCTGCAGTGCAAAGGCTGAAGGGTCCTTGCTGGAGGCTGAAGAGTCTGTGCTGAAAGCCAGGAGACGAGGGACGTCCAAGGTGAAAGCGCAGGCTGGAGCTTCTCCAAAGAAACAGAAGCAATCCTTCTGTTAGGATTTGGGTCTGGATATCCCCCAAAGCCTCATTTGGTCAGAGGTGGCTGAATCTGGAATGTGTGATGCTGGAGTTAAGGGCGTGTGGCTACTAAACCACTGCACGTGAGTGAGTGGTTTAGCACTGCCCTAATCCTCGTAGACTGGATGGGATGAAAGAGGCAGAAAGACGCAGTGAAGTTCTCCTCCTTGTTGTCTTTGCTGTCTTGTGTGCACCATGTTGTCTCTGCTCTGCCATGCCTGTTGTCATGGAGTTGGCTGATTATGGACTGAAGCTTCTATGAACTGTAAGCCAGATAAACCACTTACCCTCCAACTTTGGGTGTTGGGCATTTTGTTTCAGCAATGAGAGAAAAGTAACTAACACACCTTCCTTCTTCATTTCCCTTTTATGGCATTCTGGCAATAATTCTCCCTAGGGTAGGTCTTCCACATCCAGAACTATCCTGAGCCAATTTATTTGGATGTTAGTTACTCAAGTTGACACAATCAATCAACCATCACAGAAAGCCTTCAGGTTTGTTCCTACTGACCCTGCCTCTTTGTAGCATGCAGCTTCTGCCCTGTGTCTCCATTATTTCCACACAATTCATCTCACCCACTAGACTATACGCTACTGAAGGGTGCAATGCATCATTTTATCCTCTGTGGCGACTTCCACTTTCTGGGTACTTGGTAAACATATGTTAAATGAATAGTATTGTAAACATACATTAAATGAATAATATGAATGAGATTGTTGGTACCTCTCAGGAATCTTTGTATTCTCATGTCTGACAGTCAGTGGAGATTAAATATGGAGATGATGACTGTTCAGTGAATGGAAATAAACCCATAAGCCCATTATTAACTCTTGTGAAAGGCCACCAAAGTTCAGCCTTTGTAGTCAGGCTGTTAACTTTCCTAATATATTAATGCTGAAGTCATTAAACAACAACAGCTAACATGTTACTTCTGGACCCAATTTCTATAAATGATGTGCTTATTATTTAAATAACTGACGAACTAGCTTCACTGACTCTTCCTATATGAGGAGTAAAATAATTATGGCCAGTACTCACTAGGCATTTGCTTTGAATCAGGCTTTTCTCTTCTGAGTACCTGATACTTCTCACTTACTTAATTCTTGGTGTAATCTCTTAAAGATGAAGCCCTGAGGTACAATGATGCTAAATCCCTTGCCTGAAATCAAGCTCATAGTAAATGCCACACTGCAGCCAGAGCTAGTTTAAAGTTACAGATAAGTTATGGCTTCATGGCAAATTTTTCCATGTTTCAGACAAAATGTTGAAATAAGAGCAACATTTCAACTGATTCCAGCAAATGAAATGCCAGAATCAGTCCAGCCAAGATGCTACTTGCCCAGAGGATTAAATGTCCTTCTCAAACACACTCGATCTCTCTTCTATCTTCTTCATTTTTTTTTTTTTTTTTTTTTTTTTTTTTTTTTTTTTTTTTTTTTTTTTTTTTTTTTTTTTTTTTTTGGTACCGAGGATTGAACTCGGGTCCTTATGCTTGCGAGGTAGGTGGTGGAACCACGGAGCTAAATCCCCGCCCCTCACCTCTCTTCTTTGTTGTGAGTACCCGAAGTAGAGAGGAAAGCAGGGCTCCCTGGTTTGTGAGCACAGAAAATGCTTATCTAGAGAGTCACACTCACCTTGCCAAACGCACTGCCCCACCTCATCCTCTGATCTCTCTCAGGTGTTCCCTAAGCTTTGAATTTTCCAGTCCTTGGCTGTCCCAGACAGGTGTCAGTACCTGCGCAGTTCCCTGCACATCCCCCATTACAGCTCTTGTCCTCCTATGTCATCATTGTTGGTTTAACTGTACTGCTACTTGATTGCAACCTCACCAAGGGTGGGGGCCCTGGTTTAGTCACTGATGTCCTGAAAGCCAAGCATAGTTCTAAGCACAGAGAAGGTGTTTGTCTCATGGTTGTTTGCTGATTGAATCAATGAAAGTGTTCCTTTGAATGTCCATTCCACTCTAAAAGTATTGCATAAACCCACAAAGGGACTAGGCACCTCCACATTTATGCCCCAGATCAGTTAGGAATCACACAGCCAAAGAGCAATAGAACCAAGACGTCATTACTCTGTCCCTCTATATCAGAGAGAAAATATCCTTGTGCTATCCAAACCAACACCACAGGAATAAAAAATGTTTGATGAGGTTAAAAAAAAAAAAGTAAGGTTGAAAAAAGTGTGGCTGTTTCAAATAGCATTTTATTTTTCTCTTCTGTGGGCTTGATGTGTAAATTATGTGTGAGGCAAATACGTGATAGAGAGATGCAGGAGTAATTACTTGTTCTCAAATGTTTGGTTAGCCACGCCTCTGAATCCCACATACAGTAGTTTAGCACAGAATTAAATTCTGCCCTTTAGGCAGGATTAGCATTTGGAGTTTCTTGTTTCTGTTGTTTAAATGTTTTTATCCCAGTATTTGTACTTTTCCATTTAGAATAACTGCAGAGTGTGTGGGGGAAAATATAAATAGCATGGAATTTTTATGATTCAACTCATCATTCTTATTGGTCTGTGGTCGATTTTTATGGATACCAATTTTTTTAATTGCTCATCCATAAGTAGTTACAGGAACAGAAAAAAAATGGCTATCTACTCTCTACTCTAATGAATTTAGTATCCTCTCCTTGACAATAATTAAGGACTCTAATTTTATAAGGGAAAAAATAATTTCCTTTACCCTTTAGTCTCCAGATGCAAACACTTCATGAGACAATGTTATACGAAATAATCAGGAAGAAAAATTTTTCTCTATTGCCATGTATATAGGAAATGGGGGGAAATTGTTGCTCTGATTAACTGGGGCGTTTATATGAGTGGTAAAAACTAATAAATTAATTAGAATTCTAGATTAATATGTTACTAATTTATTGATTGATCCATTAATGTTCATTGTGTGCCTAGAATGTACCAGAAACTGCTGTTTACTAGATATGTAAAAAGAACTAAATTTTGGGTTCTGTCCTCCAGGAGCTTACACTGAAGGGAGGTACCACTGTATGAACAACTGCAGGAAAACAATTCTTCCATGGAAGCTTATACAAAGCACAGGAAGCCTCTGGAAGCATGTGAGCTGGTGGAATTGGGGAAAGTCAGGAATATGTATTCATGGAGAAGAGAGCATAGGAGCTGAGCCTTGCTTGAGGCAGGAGTTTTCCAGGCAGCTGAGCCAAGGACATAATGGAGAAAGACATTGTAGACCTGGGAGTGGACCACCTGCATCACCTGGAACCTGTGAATATGTTACCTTACAAGGCAAAAGGGACTTTGCAGCTGTGGTTAAGGCTACAGTTAAGGCTTTCCATTAATGATGGAACCTTTTCCCATTGGTTTAGAGAGAAATGCTCTTGTGAAAACAAAGTCAAAGGGATGGTAGTGTGAGGAAGGCTCAAAATCCTGTTGCTGTTTTTGAGATGTAAGGGTTTATGTTCAGGAACCAGTGAAAGGACTCTAGGAGCTAAGGGGAGCCCTCAGCTAGCAACCAGCATGGAAACAGAGACCTCAGTCCTACAACCACACAGAATGGAATTCTGCCAAGAGCTGAATGGGGCAAGAAAGAGATTCATTTTCACACTCTATAAGACAGAACATAATCCTGCCAACACATTCAGTTCAGCCCATACTGGACTTCTAACCTACCAAATTGTAAAATTATTATTGTTATTTTATACATCTACAATTGTGGTAATTTTTTATTACAGCATTAGAAAATGAAGGAAAACTGCCACAATTAGTGAATTGTAGCAAGTGGAAGCTCAAACTCAGTCTGATTCTAGGGTATGTATATGGCTAAATCATAATTTATTTAACCAGTTCATATCAATGGGCATTTCAGTTGCTTTCAGTTTATACTACTTCTGACACTGGAACATATCTTCTCATACTTACATCTTCATACATTTTAGTTGAAATTTTAATAGGGAAATTCCTAAAAATGAAATTATTGGGTCAAAGGATATGAACACTGAACTTTTGAAAAATAAATACCATCGAGTTACCTTGTAAAATGTTCCCAAAGCAGAGTGTAGACAAGAACTAAAATCAGTAGAAAAAGAAAGAAAAAGTATGGGTGGATATGGCTCATTGATGACCATCTCAGTAAAGTGAAAGACTGAAATGACCACATGACAAAAAGTCCCTTTCGCCTTGAGAGCCTGAGGGCATCCGTTCCCAGAAAGCCCATCTGGCTCTGTCATCTCTATCTCTATGTGCTTTGTGGGTAAATTATTTTCTTTATGTTTTTACTTCTGGCTTATGCTATTTGGCCCTTGAAGTAATAAAGGCTAACAAAAATAGCTTTCTGAGTAAATATCCCTCATGTTGCATATCCATTCAAAAGGCTATGTCACTTCAAACTGAGACCAGTTTCCCATGTGCACAATTAGACACTAATACAAATTGCCTTCATTAATTTTGAATGCTAGGCTTACCAGCAGGGCCCTGGAATCCAACTGTTGGAGAAATCACTGATTAAAGAAAATTAATGCACCAGCCAGCTCAAGTGCAAGGACCCAGTGACTAGCTGACATTTTATGGGAGTCCAGGAAGGGGGCCTCCACTGGGTTGTAATGGCCAGTTCCTCTCATCATTCTACATCAGAACAAACCCATTTACGTTAACAGGTGAAATCCAGGCTTTAAAACACAAGGGATTTTTCTTTCTGGAAGTAACTTTTACTTTCTTAGGGCTTTCTAACTTAATTTTTTCACTTGGAAAGTGGTCTCTCTGTCTCTGCCTTTCTCTGTCTCTGTCTCTCTGTTTCTCCCTCCCCCTCTGTCTCTCTCTGTGTCATTCTATAGTTAAAAGCCAGTAGATGGTCTCAGTTTTGTTAGCAACATCCAAAACTTCATAGTCAGAAGCTGTATATGTCTTCTTTTCTTCATCAGGTCTGACCAAGGTGCCAATTTGGGCCATGTCATTGTCACACAGCTTCCTCCCAGAAGGTTTAGCCTGGTGCACGTTGGCCAGGACTTTCACAGGGAACACAAAACTGTTGTCTTCTGTCTTCTGTATGGCTAATTCAGTGATCAGAGGGAATTTGATAGCACAGTGGTCAAGCCTGTTTCTCCAGAGGGTGCTTTTCAGAGGAAATGTGGAGCCTTGGAGCCATAGTGTCTTGGTACACCAGAAGGTGGATGTGATAGGGTTTTTTTCTATCTATCGATCTATCTATCTATCTACCCACCTATCTATCATCTGTCTACCTATATCTATTTATTGGTGGCTGTGGATGCCTTTCAGCATGCCTTCTGGGCCTTTTCTTTGGCTTTTCGAGGAACAGGTGCTTCCTTCTGTGCTTTTGGAGCCATTTCGCTTGGAAAAGCTGACAAGTAGTCTCTTTCTTTTTTTTTTTTCTTTTTCTTTTTTTTTTTTTGGTACCAGGGATTGAACTCGGGTCCTTGTGCTTGCAAGGCAAGCAACGGAACCACTGAGCTAAATCCCCAGCCCACAGGTAGTCTCTTTCAATCCTGATTTGCACCAATGCTTTTGTTAAGCGTCTATATTTGATAGCATCCTTTTTTCCCTTTGTTCCAGAACTTTTTTTTCTCTCATTCTACTCCCTTGAGGGTTTGGGTTTTCTCTGTAGGCTGTGATTTTTAGTAATAGGAGACTGGAGTTGTGAAGCCCTTTGACTACATTGTTGAGCTTTTTTTCCCCCCTCTTTGTGCTCAACTGCTTGATCCTGGGACATTGTAAAAAAAATCCTCTTTGCTATGAAACAGGAAAATGTCTAGTTAATGATGTTTATTTGTTATCTATTTTTGCTTCATTTTACCTTAAAAAACTAGAGTGGAAAATTTGAATTCTGACAAATTTTAAGGTATTATAAAAAGTAATAGCACCTACTTATTGAACACTCACCATCTGCCTAACACTATTAATTTTTTAAAACCGCATTAACTTATTAAAGTCCTTAAGGCCATTATTCTGTGAGGCAGGTGCTACTATTAACCCTTCCACTATTGAGGAAATTGAAGTTTCAAGAAGTTAGACAACTTGCTGACAGCTATGCAGTACTAAATGATACAGCTGAGATTCAAATGCAAGCTTATTTGACCAGTTTGTACTTGTAACCCCTGTATCGTAATTTTCCTTGGCATTTCAAATTATTTGTAAGCAATGTTTCCAGAGACATTTTAAGTTAGATAAATTAAACAAAGAGCTACTTAGCAGTGGTGAAATATGAAGTATATTGGGATAGAGTCAGGATAGTGAGTCTTGCCTCTGTCCTGAACAAGACCAGCAAGTCCCTGGGAAAGTTGTTGCTCCAGTCCCTGCCCATGCATCTCATCCATAAAAATGTCAGTCTTCTATCATTCTCAACAAAACTTGATTTCCTCTTCTTTAATTTTTTCTATACAAAAATAGATTAAACCTGCCACTCCCATATAATCTGTGACAATTAGGCCTGGTATCAGATGAGTCAATTGGCACAGGGCTCCTTCTCCTGAAACAGAAAGAAAAGGCAATGATTAAATGCCACCCCCTTGGCAGAAAGCAAGCTAAGCACAATGACTCAAGTTCAAAGCCTAGAAAATCTTGGCGGAAACAGGGTGGATATATTCCTCTGTCTCCAATTTTCTCTGTGTGTATTCATCATTGACCATAGAAATGTGGATGAACATGTGACTCATAATTAGTCATCACCTAAACTTGCTTAAGCCATTGTGGGGTAATAATGCTACCATACTTGTCCACCTAGAAATGAGACTCAGCCATAGAGAAGATTTGCTAACTTTCTCAAATACTGTATGCATCTTTATAACATAGTTTTATTCTATCACATGTATTATGGGCTGAACTATGTCCACACCACCCCTGAATTCATATGTTGAAGTTCCAAACCCCAGTATCTCAGAATGTTACCTTGTTTGGTCCTTAAAAATGTTATTAAGGAAAAAAAAGGTTATATGATGGCCCCTAATCAAATATGACTAGTGTTCTTATAAGAAATGGCAATTTGGACACAATCAACACATAGACTGAGGGGCAATCCTTTGAGGAGACAGAGATAAAGTGGACATCTACAAGCCAGGAATTGAGGCCTCAGGATAAAAATAAAACTGTTGATACCTTGATCTTGGACCTCTATCTTCTATTTCTATTATTTAATCAACTCAGTCTGTGGTATTTTGTTATGACAGCTCTAACAAACTAGTCCACCATGCTTTAAATTTGGGATTGTTTTAAAGTTTCTCTCTTACTTTCTAGAATTCCTTCACCTTCCTTAAATTTTTTTTCTTTCTTTATTTGGTTGTGCAATAAGTTATACTGATGTATCTAACTCATCCATGTACTGAGATACCGAGACTTCACAGATGTTAATGGTTTTTGAAGAGTATCCAGGGTTTGAGGTAATTCTTGATGGGTACTTTAAACATGGCTTTTGTTTCTACACCCTGTAAAATCCTTCTCTTTTTATTGCTCACTTTTGTATGTCAGTTCCCAAATAGATTATTAATTTTATAACTAATAAAATAAAGCATGGAATGATACATAATTGATTTATAATCCCTGGTTGTTCTCCTTATTCTTACTCCCTTGTCTTAGGTAAAACAGCAGCAGCAACACCATTTATATCCTTCCAGGGCCACGATTTTAAGCTAGGAATTCAAAGTCATTCCTTTTTTTCCCCTCCAGTACCAGGAATCAAACTCAGGACCTTGCACTTGCCAGGCAAGCATGTGCCACAGAGCTAAATCCCTAAAACCTCAAGTCATTCTTGATGCTTTCTTTTTACTTGTCTTTTACATCTAACTCATTACCCACTTCTCTTCATTCTTGCTTTAAAACATCTGATGGGAGAAGACTTGAGGTTTAAACTGTAACATTAAATTCAAATTCGAAATATCAATATGGACTCATGGATTAAAATACGCGTATGTGTGTATCCTCTGTAGCTCTGTCCATGGAAAGAACATGGAGGCAATGACATCCCTCTAGCAATGAGCATACTCTGAACCCTGATCTTGGTTTCTGCTCATCTTTGCCTACTAAAACGAGCCAAGATCTTTGGAGAAATACCTGATTCCGGGTGATGAGCAGGAAAAGCATATGGTGTGTTTAAGATATCTTGTGCAGAAAGCAAGACAGTTCTCAGAGATCTATGGAAGCAAGTTAGAAGGACACAGGAGCTAGTTTAAAAAGCCTCGCTCCAGCCAAGTTTCAGACCACAATACATCTGTATTGATTGCAAAGCGTTGAATATGTAAAAATCTGTGACTCCACAATGATGACTAAAAAAAGTGCAAGAAAGGAAATAACACCTCATTTACTATTATTGGAAGTGACCATATAGTAAATCTTTAAAACTGGTAGTGACAGGAACTAGACATTTATCTTTCCTTTTTAAGAAGAATTACATGATCAATTGATGAGGGAAAACTCATCTTTAGAGAAGAACATCGAAGAAGGGGTCATAATATTTGAAAGTCACTATTTTGCAACACCCAGTGATATAATTGACTCAGGCAAGGGTCATGGGAAAAATATTGCAGAACAGGATATTCACACAGTGACAAAGCATCACCACAACAGGTTATTTCCTGATTGTAAAGGATGCGAAGAAGCGATCTGGCTGCCACCACTATGACCAAATGATCAACCTTAGCATCAGTGATACACGATAAACTTGCATTATGGTTTTCCTGATGTGATACAGATGAAAGTCACAGAATAATTTATAAATTATTCTTGCCAAAAATCTTTAACCTGAATATAATGAAGCCTTCAGACCCAATTGCAAATATATAAGAATTACAGGGAATCAAAAAGCAATCAAATTATGAAAACACCTGCAGAGAAATCCTGAATGAAAGATATTCTATAAGATAACTTTTTTTCATTCCTCCAAAAGTCATTATCAAAGAGGGGATGAAAAATGAGGGGAACTGTTCTAGATTTAAAAAGGCTAATAAGATATAACAATCAAATATAACATGAAACTTGATGGACTCTTAATTTTATAAAACCACTAAAAATTTTCGGGACAGTTGGGGACTATCTAAATATGATAATGACATTGTAGTTCTGTATAAGAAAATTCTTACTATCAAGAGAAGTATATATAACCGTATTTTGGTGTGAAATGTAATGATTTCTACAACTTTCTCTTCCTCTCTATGTACATATATACATGTTATATATATACACACACAGAGACACATACAAACATATACATATGTATGTGTGTGTGTGCATGTATGGAAAGTATTTTAGTAAATTTCCTTGTTGCTGGGAAAAAACACCTGCAATTTAAAGGAGGAGAGATTCATTTTGGCTAATGGTCTGTAGAAGTTTCAGTCCACAACAGCTGGCCCCAAGGCAGGAGAGGATGCAAAGGGGCATCACAGAGGGAGAAGTGTTCACACCGTGGCAGCCAGTGAGCAGAGAGAGGGGGAAACACCAAGAGAAGAGTACAAGAGGGAGATTAAAACCTTCCAGGCCCTTGATGACTGGTATCTTCCAACTAGAGCCTCCACCTGCTAGTAGCAAGTCAGCTATAGGACTCCATAATACGATCACCTTCCAAAAGCCCTGCTGATGAGTGTATGAAGCCCTTAGGAGACACCTAGATATAAACAATAGCAGAAAGATAAAGCATATATAGTACTTTCCCCTTATCTCTAAGGGATATATTCTGTTTTGTTTTGTTTTTTGAGACAAGGTCTTGCTATGTAGTTCAGGCTGGCCTTGAACTCACTGTATAGCCCAGGCTGGCCTTGAACTCGCAGCAAGCCTCCTGTTTCAGCTTCTCAAGTTCTGGGATTAGAGGCATGAATCACCATGCCCGGTTGAGGGATATGTTCTAAGACACACACACACACACACACACACACACACACACACACACACCGCCCCAGTTGAAGTCTGAATAGTACTGAACTCTATATACTGTGTGGTTTTTTTCCCTACAGTAGATCTTAGCGACCTCATTTTTCCCCTCTCCTAATTAGGTTGAGGACTTTTACCTTTTCACTTAGAGGAAATACTTTATGGCTTCTCTTTGGTATATTCAAATTGCCAGCAATTTTGTACTTTGGGATGACTGTTAAGTGAAATAAGGGTTATTTGAATACATGCATTTGAATACCCAAACAGTTGATGTTAGTTGAAAACCAAGATGGTTACTTAAATAAATTAAGGATGAGTATCAAATAGTTTGTGGATGTGCCGGATAAAAGCCTGATTCATGTCCTTGATGGGGAAGAGCAAGACAGTACAAGATTTCACCACACTGCACAAAATGGTGTGCAATTGAAAGCCTATGAATTGATAATTTCTGTAATTTTCCACTTCATATTTCCGGACTTTAGTTGAGGGTGGGTAACTGAAACCACAGAAGGTAAAATCTTGGATAAGAGGAGGCCACATTATTTTACTATCCCTTCAATTTTTTTCAGATGAAACAATTTAGTCAATTTTTATACCTTGATACCCACTCTTTTTCTTTTATGTCTCTGTCTCCCATCTCTATCCTCATCTTGATCCTACCACAACTCTGCCTTCCCTCCTTACTGAACAATTGTGGTAGCCTCCTGAGTAATTTCTGCCTTTTGTCTAAATTCCTCTAACCCACCTGCCAGAGACAGCTTCATAAAAATCAGTTCTCCCCATTTGCCTACCTGATGAGCAGGCACACCCTCAGTCAGGGTAGTCTTGCCCTCTGATGTGCTCCGCCCCGGATCCAAACCCTAGCAGCAGAGAAAATGTTCCTGGGGTCAGGTGGACTGGAGAGCAGCATCCCTATCTGAAGGGAGTAGCTGTTACCTGGGACCAGTTTAGGATAGCCATGAGAGAATGTGCTCCCAGGGGAGCTAAATATTTGTTTCCATGAAGTCAGAAATAAGTATCTGTATCGGAATTCTGCCCGATTTTAAATAACTACAAGTATGTCAGTTTTTTAAAACACTGTGAAGGATGAAAGAAATATGAACTGCAGTCAATATGTGAGTTTTCTGTGACAACCTACACACCGAATGCTGTGCTAACCCACCTTGACCTCTATCATTCTGTCTTCTGTCACCTTGGACTGAAATACTTTCTCCCTCCTTTTCTTGGTGAAATCCTGCAGATCCTTGAAGAACCAGCTGGGAAGGCCATTCACACTGCCCTGAGTGTCCCCAGCAGGTGCTCCCTCTGCAGTGCGCCCCTGCCACACATGCAAGATTCCACCGAGGACTTGTCATAGAATTACATACCTGGTCATGCATCTTCTCCCATTGGATTCTGCATCCCTATGATTAAGAGCAACCACTGGTTCACTTTTGTCTTGTCTGTGCTGCTCACAGTGTCTGGTACAGTCAGTATTCGGTGAACATCTGTTCACTGATTTGGGGGTGTTAAAAGTAATGTGGTAGAAGAATTTAGGGCATGGGCTCTACCATGTCCCATTGGAAATGTACTTAACAATATCCATGAATCAACTGAAGAAAATTTCTGATTATTATATGCAAAGTAAGGTCATCTCTTCAGATCATTTATCTATTGTGGAAAATCAAGGTAAACAAGTTTCATTTTAAAAAGAAAAAACTCTCAAATCAATTTTCCTTTTGACCCTTTAACCCAAGAGAATTGTAGTATTGTTTCAAGAATTTCCTTTCCAGGACAGCCTTGGCCAGCAACAGGCCAAAGATATAGACAAGTTCATTAACCAAACAAATGCTCTAAACTACATTGAACTTTACTTATAAAAGAACTGAGTGACGAGTGGTGGGTTGTGCAGTGAATCAAGTCACCTCTTCTTTGGGGCATTCATTCCTATCAGAGTCCTAAACACAATTCTTGTCTCTTTCATGCCTTTCTTTCCTAGAATGATTTCTTCCTCATTATTCCTTCCAAAATCAAACTCAAAACTTACTTCTTCCCAGAAGCATTTAAGAAATACCACCCGCTTCTATTGTTTCTTTATATTGCATTCTCCATTTACTTATAATCTTGTCGGGGAGGTATGGCCTATTCTGGAGTATAACAAGAAAAATTAAGATTTTTAAGAATAAGATAATGTGACCATAAGAATCACTTGAGGGCCACTGTTTAAAATAATAGCTTTCCAGATTCCTGTAGAGATTCTGACTCTGTGGATGTGGTATGGGGTGTTCACAAGTATTTGTCTTTTTAAAAAGTCCAGCTGCTAATTCTTGCATCAGTCAACTCTGGGTAACACTAACATCATCCTTATAAGCTTAAATTTTGGGTAAGACTGATCAGGTTTGAAACTGGGCTTTTTGTTTATTAGCTTGACTCTTTTGTTATTTTGCTTATTAGCTCTGTATAAAATCAGGCAAGTTAACCATGTCCAAAGTCATGGTTTTCTCATCTAGAAAGCAGGGGCTATAATTACTGTTACAGGATTGTTCTGGAGACTAAACAATTCGTGCAGAGCATTAGCACAGAGTCTAAGAGCTTACTAAATATCTAACATTATGTTTACATTTGCTTCTAATTTTCTTGGTAACATTACTAAGATTCAAGGTCAAGATG